ATTCTGACTCATAGTGACACTGTTGGACAGAGTAGAACTGCCCCATGGTTTCCAAGGCTGTAATCTTTACAGGAGCAGATTGCTAGGTCTTTTCTCCCGTTTTGAGTGGCTGGTGGGTTCAAACCTCTGACCTTTAGTTTAGCAGCCAAGTGCTTAACCACTGTGCTGCCAGGGCTCCTACTCTGCTCCTAAACCCGCTGCCGTCGAGTAATTCCGACTCACAGCGACCCTATAGGATAGTGTAGAACTGCCCCACAGAGTTTCCAAGGAGCACCTGGTGGATTTGAATTACCGACCTTTCGGTTAGCAGCCGTAGCACTTAACCACTACGCCACCAAGGCTCCTACCTTGCTCCTAGACAAGGGAAAATGGTGTTTACTATCTTTCTGTTTTCTGAGAGTATCCTGTTACCCTCCCACCCCCATCAGACTAGGTAGGCTTCCCCTGAGGGCAGGCCTGTGTCTCTTCCTTTCTCAGCATCTATTCCCATCCAGAGATCAGACTCAAATCCTCCTTATAGGAAGCCCAGCTTGTTTCCCCATTTGACCCCCTAGCAGAATTTTCATTGGCCTCTTTGTTCCACGTTTATTCATCCATTCTTTACTTAGTTTTATTTTAATTTCTTAATGTTAGAAGGCTCTTCTGGATTATCTAGGGCAGGAATGGCAAAAAGGTTTTATCTTGACTTCCAACTTCAGCGGATTGATAGAGGCTACTTGAGTGTCGTGCGGCACCTGGACTCAGTGGGGCAAGTGTGTCATAATTAACTAGCCACGTCTGACATGGTCCTGGAAGGCAGAAGTCCGGACATATGTGCCACATATTTGTCATTCCTAGTCTAATGCAACTTCCCACCTAATATGAGCAGTCTCTAGTCCGTAGTATTGCTCTGAGATCGTTTTTGCTTAAGCTCATTCATTAAAACAGCTCCCCTCCTATTTGGATTTCTCCATTTGTTAGGAAGTTCTCCCGTAGAAGCATGGTGTAGTGTGAGGGACTGGACTGATCTAGACTTAAATTGAATTCAAATTCTGCCACTGACTAGTTATGTCATGCTAGGGAAGTAAACCCTATGGAGCAATTCCACTCTGCAACACATGGGGTTGCCAAGTCGGAATTGACTTGATTGATGGCAATGGGTTGAGGAAGTAACACTCTCTTTGGGCCTCAGTTGTCCACCTGGGAACCGAAAAACTGGAATTGAGTAACCACAAAGTTTTCTTCCTTCTCTAAAATCCAGTTATGAGTCAATATCTGCCTCTCAGCGACAGCTTCAATTAGCCCTAGTTATACAAACTGGGTTTACATGATAGTCCTTCAAATCTTTGAGGACCTATGCCCCTCTGAGTTTTTTTGTTCTGAGTTAAACATATTCAGTTTCTTTAATCATATCTCTTATGATAGGATTTCCAGATTTTTCACCGTTCTGGTCAAGTGTTCCAGGCTGTTGTGTAGTGGGGTATCCCCACTACTTACCCATGTGCCCAGCTGGACACTTCTGGCTGAAGGAGATAGGACCCACCTCGACCTGTGCATAGCCCCAGGGGAGGCACCCACTAAAACTTTCTTGGGACCTGGGGAAGATTGCATTTTGCAGCTTTAGAGGCCCTTCCTTCAGGCTGCACGCAGAACGGATGCAGGGAGCCCTGGAGTCACATTTGGAAGGAGGCGATGCTTCCCCAGAAGGACCAGTGAGTAACCAAGTGCTCATGAACTCAACAGGTGCCACTTCTCAATAAACCTGGAAGGACGGTTTGCCAGAGATGTCACCAATGTTTGCAGCAGTTTTTTGTTTTTGTTTTTTTTAAATGAGGCACTAGGTGTTCACGTCACCATTGATGAAAAAGTCTTCTCCAGCTCTTTTCTCTTGCTGCGCTCCATCCTCATTCTCCACGACATCATGTCACATGGCCCCTTTGCCCTAGAAGTCTTGTATTTGTCCTTTGTACAAAAAGACAGGTGCAAAGACTCTTGCTCACGGAAAATAAAATGAAAACAAGCAAAAGCGGATTTGAGAGGATTTTAATCTGATTATGAGCCTACCGGAAACAAAGGTGTCAAGGTCAACGTAGGAGGAACCAGGCCTAGGTTCTCAGTCTGACACCCCAACAGACATGGGGGCTTTCCCCGCCACCCTAACCCTAAGTTAGCTAGTGCTGCTGTAACAGAAATATCACAATTAGGTGGCTTTAACAAACAGAAATTTATTTTCTCAAGGTTCTGCGGGCTATAAGTCCAGATCCGGGTCTTGGCCATGTTGATTCCTTCCTTGTAGGTCGTCCCAGGCGCTCCTTGGGTCCTTGGCTTGCAGATGACCCTCTCATGGCCTCTGTCTCCTCCATGTGTGTGTGCACATCTGTGTGTCTAATCTGCTCTTTTTATAACTCAGAAATGATTACATTTAGACCCACTCTACTTGAGTATGATCTAATTAACATGACAAAGAAAACCCTATTTAAAAAAAGGATTACTACCACAGGTATAGGCAGGAGGATTCCAATACATATTTGTGGGGGGACACAATTTAATCCAGAATGCCTCCCTTGTTTTGACCCAGCCACCCTGGTCTCTACTCTTTGTAAACACCAATCATGCTCCCACATCAGGGCCATCGCATTTACTGGTATCTCTGCCTGGAACACTCTTTCCCCAGCCAACTGCATGGCATATTCCTTCACTTCGTTTGTTCTTTGTTCAAATGCCACCTTACCTGAGAGGTGTTTTCTGAATGCCTTATCTAAAATGGTACCATTCCTCCCCAACCCATCATTCTCTAGCCCTTTGCTTACCTTCTTGTTCTTAATAGAATCTATCAACATTGACAAATACTCACTTATTCATTTATATTACCTAGAATAGAAACTCCACAAAAACAAGGCCTTCGCTTTGGTCACTACTGACTCCCCTGTACCTAGAACCGTACGCAGCACATACTGGGAATTCAATCAATATTGACTGTTGTGTGACTTTTAAAGCTCAAATTCCCATGCTTATTAGCATAACAATTGGTTTCATGAAAGAACTTTTCATTTTTTCAGTGGCGGTCTCATTAATCTACTGGTTGACAAATAAGTCACTGGGAATGGGAACATTTGTTTGTTTGAGCAGCATGGATCTGGAAAAAAAGGCCCTAGTGTACCACACAACAAAACCACTGTTAACTGAGGTTGGTAGAAGTTACCTGGTGAAGGGAGAACTCTGGGCCTCACTCCCTCTAGAGCTGCTCTCACCTACGGTGGGGCATGAAAAAAGGTGGGAAGTGGTGTGGGCATGTGTTTTCTTCCCCCACGTAACCTCTGTGGCTCATTGGTAGATCTGGGCTTTCTCTTCATTTCTCATCATTTCTAGGGGCTGACGTCAGTTTTATGTGTTCAGTGACCAGGCACAGGGACTGTCTCTAGGAGTCAGGTGAGGGCAATGCAAGCTACCAGGTGGGTGGCCATGTGCACTGTTCAGGTGAACTTAGGAGAAGGAGATGGAAGAGAAGTGGGTGCAGCAAAGGGATAAGGACTAGGCAAAGCCAGGTAACCAGCATGAGATCCCTGAACAGAGCCAGTAGGCAAGGAAAATCCAGGAACAGTCAAGTGGAAGAGTGGCAATGTGCACCCAAGAGGCCAGTTGTGTTGGTCATTTGCCCACGATGAAGTAGACATTGTGGCCTTCTGGGGAAGTGGGGAGCAGAAGGGAGACCCATGGGCAGAAATGACATCCTGGGTGGAGTGATTGAAACTACCTTGGGAAAATATTTCACAATCTACCCTGTTTCTTCAATGCCTCCTTTCTCTCTATTATCTCTTCCTGTAAGATTTGAGGCCTCAGGAAAAATCTAGTCACCCCTGGGAGGGAATAACCCTGAACCTTATCAGCTATTAATCTCTAAGTAAAGGTTAGCTCATCAAAATTTTCCAGAGTGGCAATAGCCCAGAGCTTCTCTAGACAGAATCATTCCATGGAAGATTGTATTTTTCAAAGATGGCCACAGTAATAGACTCCATCCCATGCTCTTCTTTCAAAGTGATCTTGACAATCCTTCCATTGAGTGGTGGAGTCTTTATCCCTTCTTGAACTTGGGTGGATCTTTTTCACTTGTATCTGAAAACGAGTGTGGCAGATTCTAGGATGCCTCAGCATCCCTCTATAATTTTCCTTCTGCTTCTGGCTCCTCACTGTCCTAGTATCAGGCATAAAGAAAGTTGTGCTGGAACTTCCAGTTGGTTGGGGCAAATTCAAAGTCTCTTTTCCTGGTTACTGTGCTAGAGAGTAAGGAGAACGTCAGCCTCCACTCCCAGATTCTGCAGGAGGCATGAGGGTCAATGGAGATGGTGAAGATGTTAATAAGGTGTCACCTGCAAATTATCATCCATCCCAACCATGGGATGTCAGCTATCCCCAACTGCAAGTTACCTTTGAGAGGCTGTCAACTCAGATGACCTGAAAGTCCTTCAAGCCAGAAGGAGAAACTCCTGTCTCCCACCTCTCACCTTTACCTTTTCTTATGATAATGCCTAGGTTATCAGGAAGCATCCTGGTCTCAAACTATAGGGGCTGAGGCTGGAGGTAAGTGATTCAGTTTCTCTGCTAGTTCAAATGTCGACTGTCTTTTAAAGCCCAGGATCCAGGCTGGAGGCAATCCTCTGGTGCCAGTTGGTTGATACTTGATAAACAGTGGAAGGGGACCAAACATCCTGGACAATCAGTGTCCCTGTGCATCCTGGACTACTTCCAGTGTCTTTGAGGGACATTTCTGTTAGGCTTCTCTTACCTAGAGCAGAGCCAGGACATGCAAAATGGGGAGAGGGACGGGGAGGATATGGAGGATTGTGCCAGTGCTTTCTGTGACAGCGCCCTGGCGGTTCCCAGGAGGTGAGGAGAGAGTCTCACAGGAAGTATGAGGACCATTGAGGTTTCCAGGCACCAGCTACGTCCCAGAGCATCATGTGCTGGGCAATGGGGCTCCTGATGATCCAGGCATCAGCTCGTATCCCCCATCATGGCAGACCCTACACAACGGCGTTCTCTGTCTCTGGAGCTACATCGTTAGCACAGACATTCTTCTTCTTTTTCCCTGGTGAGGAGATCAAAAAGAAAGTCATTCCTCCAGTGTTTGGAATCTTGGCATCCTTGGCCTGACCCAAGATCTCTAACTCCTAACTGTTCCATCCTAAGATTACCTCAGCCAAAGTATCGCCTCTTCTGGTCTTCCAAGACCCTGGAAAAGGAGACACTTCAAGAACAGAAAATTCTTCCTAATGTCTAATCTTAATCTGCAACTCTGCCATAAATTTAACTGTAGGGTGTATAGAAAGTTAGACTGGAATGGACCCAGTTAAATGACTGGACAGAGGTTATGCGGCAGAGTCGGGTCCCCTGAAGGAAACTTTCCACTATCTTAGGTGGTCAAGTTCTCTCTGTCTCTTCTCATGAGACAAAACTGCTCTTTTCTGAACCCTGAAAACATGATGCTAAGTGACAGAAGCCAGTCACAAAAAAACACATATTGTATGATTCTATTTATATGAAATATCCAGAATAGGTACATGTACAGAGACCGAAAGTAGATTAGAGGTTGCCTATGGTTGAAAGTGACAGCTAAGGGGTGTGGGCTTTCTTCTAGGGGTAATGAAAATGTTCTAAAATTGATCATGGTGATGAACGCACAGCTCTGTGAATACACTAAAAGCCACTCAATTTTATACTTTAAATGGGTAAAGTGTATGGTATGTGAATTCTATCTCAATAAAGATGTTGAAGAATAAAAGCTGCTCTTTTCCTGGCTTCCACCTTCTTACCACAAATCCTGGGGACTGTCCAAGGCAGATGCCTGGACCAGAGCCTCTGCATGGCAGACAGGGCCCCTAGATAGTGTACAGCCTCTTCCCTCCTTGACAGCTGGAAAGAGTACACAGGAATCAGTCACTCCCCTGGCTAGTAGCTGGGACAAGGCTCTTGCCTTCTGGGACACCGCCACCATAATATGGTCTCAGTGCCTCCTTTTCCTTGCTGAACCACAAGCTACCCTAGGGCCAGCAAGCTTGGGGTGGAAATGGCCATGAAGTCCAGGTCATAAGAGGATGATTCTTTCAGGGACAGGGCATCCTAGGGCAGAGGCCAGGGCTAAGCTGAGTCTAGAGCTTAGAACCTGGCCTGATCTCCGAGTTTTTCCTTTTCTCAAGATGGACACCTTATCAGACACTGGCCAGGGAGTGCTTCTCACGGGGTGCTATCTCTACGAATGGTAGGTAAGCAGGGGCTGGGATTCACCGATCCTTCCACTCAACAAACCTGTTTTGAATACCAGCTATCTTCCAGAAACCATTGTTAGGTGCCCAGTGGTGACCCAGCCTCTGCCTTTTAAGAGCTCAGAGTTCAGCAGGGAAGTAAGTAAGTGTAACAATAAGTGCCCTGGTAGTGTAGTGGCTAAGAGCACGAAAAGGTCAGCAGGTGCTCTTTGGAAACTATGGGGTATTTCTACTCTGTTCTATAGGGTCACTATGAGTCGGAATTGACTCGATGGCAATGGGTTTGGATTTTTTTTTTGGCTTATTAACCTAGCCTGGAGGAAGGGGAGAATGTCAGGGAGGCTTCCTGGAACAGGCACACCTTGAAGATGGAGTAGCAGAAAGTCAAGTGAAGAAGTGCAGTGGGGTGGGAAATCCTGGAAAATGTGTTCCAGGCAGAAAGAATAGCGTGTTGCAAAGGCCTGGAGATGCATGTGAGAGCATCATTCATTTGAAGAACTGCAAAAGAAATGTCAAGTAGTTCAGTCTGGCTGGAGGCCAAAGTGTGAGATGAGGAGGATAAACACATGAGGAGGGAGAGGAAAGCAGGAGCAGATCATCTCATTAGCAGGAGGGCCATGCCTGCTCTCCTCCCTAGTGGATTCACCCACTCTGCCCACCTCCTGCACCTACAGAACTCCTACCTGAGCAGGGACCACAGTGCCAGGCAGAGAGGAGACCCACCAGGACCAGGAGGAATGAGACCGGCACCACCACCATCAGTAGGACATCTTTGTAGGAGGTTTTCCCTGGGGCTGGACATGGAAGGGGGCACGGTCAGAGGTAGAACTGATGATTCATGGTCCCTCAACCACCCCCAGCTCACCCCCGAGCCTTGGCATACCTGCCTCACGGTGACAGCTCTCCCAGGGGGTGACTGTGGCCAAGTCCCAGCTGACAGGGTTGGAGACAATGCAGGAATAGGCCACACCCTTGTCTCCTGGCCCCAGTGAAACCCTCAGCACCTGTCCGTTTGCGAACAGGCCATGTGGTTCAAGACCAAAGCCAATGGTCCCCTCTCGTTGCCAGCTATAGGTGACATCACTGATATTGGGGGCCCAGCAGGACAGGAAGACCTGGCAGGTCTTGGGGGGCTGGGCATCCCCTGCTGCAGCGATGAACACTTGTACTGCGGGCCTGGGTACTGCATCTAGGAAAGAACACGAGAGCAGGCATGGGTTACAGGGGAGCAGGGTTGGGCCCACAGCACTGGCTCTGGTACCCATGAGGGGCTAGATGCCAGCTCTGACTAGGCCCCTCTTGTTCGCAAACCTTGTCTGGCTTCCCATTTTCCACAGGACAGATGCTGAACTTCTTAACCTGGTATTCAAAATTGTTTACGATATGGTACCTGCCAAACACTCCAGCCATGCCTCTGGCTGGTCCTCCCAATCCATCCTAACTAATTTGCAGCTCTTCTAAACATGTCATGTTCGTCCATATCTTTCATGCTTTCCTAAAGGCACATACGCCCTCACTTCTTGTTCTCCTAAAAATTCCTGCTGACTTTCAGGGCCCAGCTTGGACCATTGCTTAACACACTGACTGTGAAACCTTTCCTGCTGTTCCAGGCTCTGAGCTCTCCACTCTGCCCTCGGTCCTTTGCTTCCAGTGCTTCTCAGTCAGTGAGAGACAGTAAGCTCTTATTAGTCAGGCAAGAAAACAAATACATTTCCTGGCCTTTTGAGACTTACAGTTTGGTAAGGAAGAAAGATATTGACAAAGGATTCTAAATAAGTAAGAAAATAAGGACCAAACCAAAACCCCCTGCCACTGAGTCGATTCTGGCTCATAGCGACCCAACAGGACAGAATAGAACTGCCCCATAGGGTTTCCAAGGCTGTAATCTTTACGGAAGTGGACTGCCACATCTTTCTCCTGCGGAGCGCTGGGGGGTTGGAACCACTGACCTTTTGGTTAGCAGCTGAGCACTTAACCACTGCGCCACCAGGGCTCCTCGAAAATAGCTACAAGGGTGCAAAATGCTGGGAAGGAGGAACCCAGGGGATGGGGGCTTTGTCTTCTTGTCTTGATAACCCTAGGTCTCTGGTGCTGACAAATAGTAAAAAAAAAAAAAAAAAAAAAAAAAAAAAATACAATAAACCAAAAAAACCAACCTTGTTGCTGTGGAGTTGATTCCAATTCATGGTAACACCGTGTATTAGAGGAGAACTGTTCCATGGGATTTTTTTGGCTGTAAGTTTATGCAAGCAGATTGCCAAGTCTTTCTTTCACGGCACCACTGGGTGGGTTCAAACCACCAACCTTTAAGTTAGTAGTCAAGTGCAAACCATTTGCATCACCCAGGGACCTTGGCAAATAGTAAACCAAAAAAACTCATTGCCATCAAGTCAATTCCGACTCACAGTGACCCTATAGGATAGAGTAGAACTTCCCCACAGGGTTTCCAAGGCTGTAATCTTTATGGAAGCAGACTGCCACATCTTTCTCCCTCCGAGTGGCTGATGGGTTCGAACCGCTGACCTTTTGGTTAGCAGCCGAGCGCTTAACCACCCTGCCACCAGGGCTCCTTCTGGCAAGTAGTAAAGTGCTCGAAAATCAGGCCATTGAACAAATTGGCGTCCTAGGCTGTGATTCCCCTCTCTGGTATAGGTCGGTTGTTGCACGAATCCTGAACCTTGATGGCAATGGGGACCAGCAGAAGAGCATCCTGGTGACAACAGGAAGATTTAGGCTCTGACAGCATTCCAGAGTCAAGCAGAGTAAAATCTCATTAATGCCAGCTCAGGCTGGTGGGATTTGTGATAGGAAAAAAAGGAAAGATTTGCTGGGCACACTAATAGTATAAACAAAGATTTCAGGGGGGTATTTACACTACTTAAGAGTACAAGCTGCTTCCAAACACGATCAGGCGCAGTAGAAACACCCATTGACAATTCTCATAACTGATCTACTAACTCAAATCATTCTTATCTATTGTCAAAGCAGAGCTCCTAAGGACTGCTGCTTGGCAGCTTTGTGCAATTAGTTCTAACCACGCTACGTATTTGAAAGCAATAAAACTGCGATTTCCTTAAAATCTGTAATTCAGACACTGAGAAGAAGGCATTTTAGAGCTTAGCGGTGTGGGTGCTGCATGTATTATCACATTCAGCATCCTCATTTCACATGTGTGGCAGCTCAGACTCAGAGCTGGGAGAGGCTCCAGGGCTGCCTGGATGGTTGGGTAGGTTCTTCACTGCACGAGGGCACTGGGCTAAGCAGGTACCGAGGGTAGTGTTTAAACCTAGCCAGCACCCTGCTTGCTGAAACTTACAGCCTGCTGCAGGGCTGTGTGTATGCAGAAGGGCACCCATCTAATTGCACAAAGGCACCTTATGGCTAGCGGCACTCTGAGCTCTCACCTGAGGACAGCCAGTTAGCTGTCCCTGTGTCTCTCTCTTCTCTAATTTGCTCCTTGCTTCTCTCTCTCTCACTGCTGGCCTCTTCCCAGCTGCCATCCCTACACCCTATTCTTAAATTTGGACTCCCCCCATACTCTATCCAAATTTCTACTGAAATAGTGGTTTGGGGTCACTCATACTTTTTTTCAACCCCTGAGGTAGATAAATGAGAGCCGAAAGGCCATTCTTTTTTAACCAGCAGAAACATGGAGGTGGTGGTGACGGTGATGGAGGTGATGGTGGAGGTGATGGTGGTGACAGTGATGGAGGTGATGGTGGAGGTGGTGGTGACGGTGATGGAGGTGATGGTAGAGGTAATGATAGTGATGGAGGAGGTGGTGGAGGTGGTGGTCATGGTGATGGAGGTGGTGGTGGTGATGGAGGTGATGGTGGAGGTAATGATGGTGATGGAGGTGATGATGGAGTAGTGGTGGTGATGGTGATGGAGGCGATGGTAGAGGTAATGATAGTGATGGAGGAGATGGTGGAGGTGGTGGTGATGGTGATGGAGGTGATGATGGTGATGGAGGAGATGGTGGAGTGGTGGTGGTGATGGTGATGGACATGGTGGAGGTGATGGTGATGGTGGAGGTAGTGGTGGAAGTGATGGTACAGGTGGTAGTGGTGATGGTGATGGAGGTATGAAGCAGGTGGTGGTGGTGATGGTGATGGTGGAGGTGGTGACGGTGATGGTGGAGGTGGTGATGGTGATAGTGATGAAGATGGTGGAGGTGATGGTGATGGTGAAGGTGCTGATGGAAGTGATGGTACAGGTGGTAGTGGTGACAGTGATGGAGGTGATGATGGAGGTGGTGGTGGTGATGGTGATGGTGGAAGTGATGGTGGTGATGGTGGAAGTGATGGTGGTGATGGAAGTGATGATAGAGGTGGTAGTGGTAATGGTGGACATGAAGTTGCTCGTGGTGATGGTGGTGGTGGTGATGGTGATGGTTGTGGTGGTGATGGAGGTGATGGTGCAGGTGGTAATGGTGAGGAAGTGATAGTAGAAGTGGTAGAGGTGGAGTTGCTGGAAAGAGAGGCCCAGCCAGCCCTCTGAACCAATTCAGCCACCCAGCTGAGGTGCTGAGTGCAGCTGCACAACTGACTGTGGCAGACCCAATTGGAGAAAAGGTTGTCCAGCTGAGCCCTGCCAACCCACAGAATCATGAGGAATAAAAATTGTTTTAAGCCAGTAAATTTTGGGTTGGTTTGCTCTGAAGCAATGAATAACTCAGTATCCCATGAATGATATATAGTTAAAATCTCTCTACATATATCTAAAAGAGCTCTTTTAAGAAATATAAAATAAACATTCTATAATTTTAATTATAGTTTAATTATAATTTTGTTTTTTTAATAAAAAAGCATCATGTCATAGTTTACTTAGTAACTTTTTTTTTTTTCTTTTTTAGTGGTACATAAAATAATGGTGTGTCTTACAATCTATGATGGTGTCTTAGAATTGGTGGTGTACTTAAGGCCAAGCACTGTCCTAGATGCTTTGTAAATGCCACTGTGTCACCTTTAGAGCCACTCTACATGGTAATATTACAATTCCCATCTTATGAATAAGAAATGTAAAGCTTAGAGAGGTTAAGCATTGTGTCCAAGGCCACTGAGCCAAGGAAAGAGCGAATTGGAGTTCAGACCAGGGCTGGAGTGATGGCTAAGCTGGCCCACCACACCAGGTAGGAGCTCACCTGCAAGTACCTGAGAAGTTTTCTTAGATGTGACTGCCAAAGGGCAGACATTCCCTGAATCAGCAACATGGTCAGTGGCCAGAGGTTTCTGGAACCCAGTTCTCCCTAGGACTCAGGATGTTGCTGGGTGCTTTGTGGGAGGCTGGGGGGCAGGGAGCCAGCACTTACCATACACCTTGAGCTGCAGGGTCTGGGTCCAGGCCCAACCCCCTGTGTCTACCAGCAGGACGGAGAAGTTGCCGCTGTCTCCGGACTCCAGTGGCCGCAGCTCAAGGCTGAGGTTGTGGTGCAGGTGGGCTCGGCCCAGGAAGCGGGAGCGGTATACAGTCTGCAAGGAGTCCCCGGAAAACGTGGCCAGGAGCTCCTCCGAAGGCCAGAGAGATCGCCAGATGGCCTCGCGGACTTGGAATCCGGGGGGGTGCTCTGCTGCCAGCAGCACGGAGCCCCCCACCTGTCCTTGGATTTGGGCACCAGTAACTGCAATGGGAAGCAGAGCTGAAAGAACAGAGCACCTGTCACTCTGGCCTGCCCCACGCACCTCAGCCCTCTCCATCATGCAGCTGAATGATGAGGAAACCTATCAGAGACCCTCCATCCAAGTTGAGGGTGCACTGTGCCGGGTCCTGGGAGCAAAACAGGAGAGAACCAGGTCCCCGTGTGCATGGAGCTCACAGGAGAAGCCAGACACTTCAGCTAGCAATTAAAACATAATATATTAAGTATTGTGATGAGAAAAGGGGTTCCTGAGCGGTGCAAAAGGTTAAGCACTCAACTTCTAGCCAAAAGGTTGGCAGTTCGAACCCACCCAAAGGCAGCTGGGAAGACAGGCCTGGTGATCTGCTTCTGAAAGGTCACAGCCTTGAAAACCCTATGGGGCAGTTCTACTCCGCACACATGGGGTTGCCGTGAGTTGGAATCAATTGGACAGCAACTAGCAGCAACATGATGGGAAAGAAAGGGGTGGTATGGGAGAACACAGGCCGGGTGAGAAGGTGACCTTACCTAGCCTGGAGGGGCTCAGAGAAGAATTGTAAGCTGAGGCCTGTGGGAGGAATGGGAATCAGCCAGGGCAAGCAGAGGGCTGCCTGGAGGGGAATGGGGAAGTGTTACCATCAGAGGGAACAGCATGTACAAAGGCCTGGAAGGAAGAAGCCTGGTGCACTGGGGAACTGAAAGTATTGCTCTGTAGGGGAGAAATTACACCACTGAGTTGGCTGGAGCCACTTCACGCAGGGCCCTGAAAGTGACATTGGAGTACGGGCTTTATCTTTAGAGCAGTGGGGGACCTTGGATTGGTTTTAAGCAGGAGAGTTACGTGATTATTTGAATGGTTTGAAAGACCACGCCAGCAGAGGTGTGGAGGTGTGGAGGAAGGGCAAGACGGAGGCTGTTTATATTAATGCAAGGAGAGGTGAGAGAAGTGGGTAGGGAGGAAGGTGGCAGCAAGAATGGGGAGAAGTGGGAGAAGTTGAGAGATTAAGATGATGCAATCCATGGGACTTGGTTAATGATTAGATCGGGGGGTGAAGAAGAGTTAAGGATGGCCTCTGGGTTCTTGGGGTCCATTGGGTGCCTTTCTCTGTGATCAGGGACACTGGAGGAGAAACAGACTGGGTGGTGAGATGGCAAGATGCTGAGTTTAGTTGGGAACATGGTGGCTTTGGGGTACGCAGGGGACACCTCTGCTTTGAGTGCCCTCCTGACTTCATCCCTGGCTAATTTCTGCTCATCCTTCAAGCCTCACTCACTGCGTCTCCTGACCTCCTCTATCCCTCACTCCAGGTGACAAACTCTGCTTCTGTGTCCCCATATTGGCCTGGGCTCACCATCATTACTCCTCTTAAACCTGTTGTCGTCGAGTTGATTCCAACTCATAGTGATCCTATAGAACAGAGTAGAACTGTCCCATAGGGTTTCCAAGGCTGTAATCGTCATGGAAACAGCTTGCTAGGTCTTTTCTCCTGCGGATCCACTGCTGGGTTTGAACCTCTGACATTTGGGTTAGCTGCCGAGCACTTAACCTTTGTGCCACCAGGGCTCTGTATTACTGCCCTTATCCCTCTATTATGATTGCCTGTTGATGAGTCACTGTCTCCCCCTAGGCTAAGAGCTCCTCAAGGGCAATGACACTTTCTTATTCATCTTTGTACTCCTAGTGCCTATCACCACTTAGGGCCAGGATATAGGAGAAGCTCAGTAAATTTTACTGAATGAATGAGTGTACTGAGGACTTGCCTTGTGCCTGGCATTGTGTTAGGCACTGGGTGCAGAGTAGAGTAAGAGCTGATGTGTAAAGTATCCCAGTGCTGGCAGTGTGGTTGAGGAGATGTGTTCTGATGGACACTCAGCCAGACACAGATAACTCTAGTCCCTCTCCATCTCACTGCCCCCACCGTCTCCAGTCCTAACTGGTGATGGCTTCCATGTTCATGCGGAGTGGAGATTTAACATATAGAGAAGTTGTTGTTGTTGTTAGGTGCTGTTGAGTCGGTTCTAACTCACAGCGGCCTTATAGGACAGAGTAGAACTGCCCCATAAGGTTTCCAAGGAGCAAACTGGTGGAGTCAAACTGCTGACCTTTCTGGTTAGCAGCTGTAGCTCGCCGTAGCTCTTAACCACTGCATCACCAGGGCTCCATAGAGAGAATAGCACTGGATTTAATCAAGATTCCCAGGTTTGATGTAGCCCTGGTTCTGCCACAAATCAGCTGTGTGGCCTTCAGCAAATCACTCCCTCTCACTAGGCTTCAGGTTTCTCATCCATAAAACAAGGGGGCTGTACCAGGTCAGCTGTGCCGGACTCCTTTGCCATTAAGAGTCCTTTTAAAACTTATTTTCCGCTCACATGTCCAATGATGTGAAAGATTTTGTGAACCAGGCAGATCGAGGTCTTTTTTGAGGGACAAGGTGTGTTTTCCCTGAAAAGGTTTGTTGCTGTTAGTTGTTGTCCAGTCGGCTTCGACTCATGGCAACCTTGTGTATAACTGAACAAAAGGTTGTTCCATCCTATGCCATCTTCATGATCATTGTATGTTTGTGTCCATTGTTGCCACAATTGTGTAGTCCCTTCCAACCTAGGGAGCTCATCTTCCAGCACTATACTGGACAATATTCTGCTATGATCCGTAAGGTTTTTATTGGCTAATTTTTATAAGTAGATCACCAGGTCTTTCTTTCTAGTCTTAGCCTGGAAATAAAAAATCCATTGCCGTCAAGTCAGTTCTGACTCACAGTGACCAAGCAGGACAGATTAGAACTTTCCCATAGGATTTCCAAGGCTGTAAATCTTTATGGAAGCAGACTGCCACATCTTTCTCTCAAATCTGTCCTCTATGGGTGACCTTGCTGGTATTTGAAATCCTGGTGGCATAGTTTTCAACAACACAGCAACACACAAGCCACCACAGTACGACAAACTGACAGATGAGTAGTGATCACATGGTTTAGAAATATTGAAAACACCTGCAGGACCTTTGAAAGAGCCCTCAGAGCCAGGAACCCAGGTGGAGGACACTGGACAAAGTAATCTCAAAGTCCCCGAGTCTCTGGTATAAACAAAGATGCCTTAGCCTTTGCCACCTGCCACCACCCCCATCACCTAGCCCTGCAGTGCTGACCCTGTCACATCAGCTACTTGTTGACCAAGGAAGGGAACTCAGACATTAGATAAGATAGAGGGGTCACCCATTCTTGGCAGAGACCCAATGTGTCAGTCATTTCAACATCACACCATCATCAGCCACCCCCAAGTCTACATGGACCATATTTAACCACCCCCTCCCTACCCCAACGATCATCCTCACTCAGTATTCACCCCCCCTTACACAGGCCAGTAGGAAGGGACTTCTGGTGTTCCTCTCAACCTCCCAGCCCTCCTCAGACGGTAGGGAGACCTGCTCTCCCCTTCCCTTCCCTGGTCTCCTCAATCTTTGAGTAGAATTCCCAAGTGTTAACACTACCAGACTCTTCACCATCTTGGTCTCCAAACCACTAGGCATCACCAGCCTTAGATTTTACTGCCTGGGGCCACAAAACAGCTAGTGTCTCATGGGTGCTCCCAAGGCTTCCATCTCTTCCCACCCAGGACTCTTTGCATCCATTTAGCTTTGATTGTTGCCCGGGAAATTGTTCCAGGCTTCCCTACCCTTCCTCAGCTCCTGGGTTGTCTGTCACTCAGGATGGGGAAAGGATTGCCCAGAGTTCTGGTGAGGGCCGGCTGGGGACAGGCCTTCAGCTTTCTGAGGACGGGGTATCCACCTGCTCCACTTACCTTCCCAGAGAAGCAGACTCCACATGGCTATCCTTCTCAGGAGAGGCAGACACTCTCCCCCAACAACCAAAATCCAGCGCATCCCAGGCCAAGCGGATGCATGGATGGATCTGTGGTCCTTCTGGAAAGTCCCTTGTCCAGAAGGAGGAATCTTGACTCAAAATCACATGTCCCGAAAGTGAAAATGTCCAGAGCAAAGTGGAAGTTGGCTGCAGGCCTAGCTGGGTCTTTCAGGAGCAGATTCTTGTTAGTCAGCCTTTTTCCTATGGTTGGCTAATGCAGTCTCAAGCAACAAGCTCCTCTGCACAAGCCCATGTCTTCTAGGCTGACACTTACCAGGCCTCCACCATCTAGCCCTGCGTTACTGTTCTCATCTTTCCCCTTGGAGCCAGAGAAGCCCTCTAAATTCCAATTCCAATCAAGTCACTTCTCCTCTGCTTAAAAGTCTTTCCTGGCCTCCTGCTGCCCTCAGGATAAAGGTTAAACCCCTTGACTTAGTATACAAAGTTTTTATGGGTTGGGCTCCAGGCCTGCTTCTCCAGGTTGGTCTCCCACTTCCGTTCTGTTTTCCACCATACCACACCAAAGCTACTTGGTCTCAGAACTACCCATTCCATACTTCCATGCTTTGGAATCATTTCTCTACCAGGCATGCTCTTCCATTCATCCCTCCAGACTCAGCATGTTGATGTGGCCAGTCAAGCCCTCCCTCCAGCCCTCCTGACCTTTGGCAGAATGGAACACTCCTCCTCTGGCTTCAGTAGTGTGTCTACTCCTCCCTCAATGCCCTTCTGCATGTTTGTAAGTTTTCTGGTCTCCATAGCCCTGGTGGCACAGTGGTTAAGAGTTCAGCTGCTAACCAAAAGGTCAGCAGTTCAAATCCACCAGCCACTCCTTGGAAACCCTGGGGGGTCAGTTCTACTCTGTCCTATAGGGTGGCTAGGAGTCAAAATCGACTTGACAGCAACAGGTTTGGTTTTTTTGGGGTATAGCTTATTTTGCTAGCAAGGCCTTGTACTCGGGTCTACGTCCCCATTAGTACTCCATACATCACAGTTGCCTAACAAATATTTATTAAAAGAGCAAATGAATTCTGTTGTTGTTAGTGGCTGTCCAGTTAATTATGACTCATGGCAACCCCATGCATGGAGAGTACAATTGCTCCATAGGGTTTTCAAGACTGTGACCTTTTGGAAGCAGATCACCAGGCATGTCTTCAGAGGCACTTCTAGGCGGATTTGAACCGCCAACCTTTTGGCTAGTAGTCTAGCACTTAAGTATTTGTAGCACCCCCAGTGATTTGCTTCATTTCAGCCCTAAAACTCTTCTCTGAGAGGGTACTGCTATCACTCTTTCAGAGATGGGGGGATTTGAGAATCGGAGTGGGTTAGGCACCTTGGTGAGGTTGCAGAGTGGCAGAGCTGGGGTCTGAACCTCGACCTTCAACTGTAGTCCATTTTGCCACAGCTGCCTTCTCCTCACCCTCTTTTCTTCTCTCACTTCAAGTCACTTGACTTCTCTTAACTCAGGGAAGGCTTTGTGGGAAGGTGTTGTTTCTCTCCCTACAGTCCCCTGCGGAAGATTCCTGATTGTTCCATGCGGCTCACTGTGTCTGGTCCTGCATAGCCCCTGACCTGTCAATCAAACTGAAGGCTCTTCTTTGGACCCAGCAAGGAATTAGGCATATGGGGGGTTGGGGGAGGGAATATGGATGGGCATGAGCAGGAGGATTTTGGGACTGGGGGAGGGGGGTATTCCTGCCCTCCAGGTACTCACAACCAAAATGTAGAAACAAGACACACCTGGCAAGGTGAAGCCCCCTGCCATCCCCAGACAGGCCCTGCTCTGTGCAAACAGGCAGCATCGAGGGTCAGTGCTGCAGGAGGTGGGAGGAAACAGCCTCTGTGGGTCTTGGGTAGGAAAGGCTTCCCAAGGAGGTAGAATTGGATCTGGATCTGGAAGGTGGGCATGAGAAAAAGGAGCGGGCCAGAGCTGGGGGTAAGCTCTGAGCACTGGGGCGAGCAGCGCCTGCGAAGACTTTATATTAGTGTCCTAGGGCCGCTGAACCACAAAGTGGGAGGCTTCTAAGAACAGAAATTGATTGTCTCGAAGTTCTGGAGGCTAGGTATCTGAATGCAGGGTGTTGGCAGGACCATGTTATCTCCAAAGGCTCTAGGGAAGATCTTTCTTGTCTCTACCAGCTTCCGGTAGTCCTCAGCTTCTCTCAGCCTCATTCCGTGGTTTGCAGCTAAAGCATAACTGTGGGCACACGGACATTTTCCCTGTATCTGCCTCTCTGTGTCTCTCGCTCTTTTTTATAGGACATCACTCAGACTGGATTAGTTCCCACCCTACTCCAGTATGACCTCTTGTCAACCTATCTGGTAACCGCTTCAAAGACCCTATGTCTAAACAAGGTCATGTTCACAGTTCATAGGTACCAGGGGTTGGGATTTCAACACTTCCAAGCAAAGGGATCTTTAGGACTGAAGTGGGTAAGTGTGGAAAGGGAATCCAGGGGTCAGATTATGGAGGCCTTGAATGCTGGGCTAAGTATTGGGCCTTTGTTCTGGCTTTCAATCTTGCTAATATTCGGATTCTCAGGCTCTACCCTTAGGGATTCTGGTTTGATCGGTCTGGGATAAGGCGCTCTGGTGGCTCAATGGTTAAGTGCTCAGCTGCTAACAGAAAGGTCAAGGTTTGAACCCACCAGTGGCTCCATGGGAGAAAAGACTTGATGATCTGTTCCCATAAAGATTACAGCCTAGGAAACCCTGCAGGGCAGAGTATAACTCTATAGGGTCGATGTGAGTTGGAATTGACTCAACAGCACATGATGGGGTGAAGCTCAGGAATCTGTAGTTTTAACAAGTGGTCTAGATGATTCTGAAGCTGTTGGTCTGAGGGTGCACTCCGAGAAGTTCTGCTTGGGAGGAGGGGACTGTTGACCATTTTGAGCTGGGAGTAACTTGCTGGTGGGAGGACAGCATGCAGGGAGGGCAGAAAAAGAGCCTGGGGCCAGGGAAGTCTATGAAGCTGCTGTTGTGATGGTCCCGGGGGAAATGGGAAAAGGTCCTGACCTAGGAAGGAAAGCTCTAGAGTCGAGAGAAAGGGGCAGAGGCAGCTGCGGTCCTGACAGAACTTGGAAGCAGCCTGGCTATGGGATAGAGTGACTCTGGGAGAGGGATCATTTACCACCCCATTGTTAATGCCATCAATCACTCATGAGACATTCATTGAGCGTCTACTTATGTGCCAGGTGCTGGGGACACACAGAGATGAAAGGCACAGTCTCCGCCCTCAAGGAAGTCGCAGTTCAGTGGGGAAGATTGGACATGTAACCCAATAATTAGATAATTATAACCAGGGTGGAAAGAGGAGGGCCAGATGCTGCAATGGACGAGCATGATGCCTGACCCACATGGGAGGATGGGAGGCTTGGAAGGGCTGAGGGGAGGGAGTGGTGTTGGAAGAGCCTTAAGGATACACACAGATGAGGGTAGAAGGTAAGAACTCAAGCTCCAGACTCAGAGCTCTTAGATTCATATCTTGGTGTGAAACCTTGAGCAAAGCAGAACTCTGTATGTCAGTGTCCTTATCTGTGAAATGGGCATTAGAACTGTGTCTGCCTCCTGGGGTTGCTGTGAGGGTTAGATGAATGAACACATGTAAGGGTTTAGAGTGGTATCTGGCACAGAGTAACCCAAACCCAAACCCATTGCCATTGAGTTGATTCCGACTCATAGCGACTCTATAGGACAGAGTAGAACTGCCCCGTAGAGTTTCCAAGGGGTGCCTGGTGGATTCGAACTGCCGACCTTTTGGTTAGCAGCCATAGCTCTTAACCACTATGCCACCACGGGTTCCACAGAGTAAGCCCTTAAATATTATCCATTGGTACTAAATGGCTAGAGATAGGGAAAAGGGGAAACCCTGGTAAATGCAAGGGAAGGTGTGTTTGAGGCATGAGGTAGTGTCCCGTTCTGACTCTCTTCTCCCATAAGACTGGGAGCTCCACGTGGGCAGGGATTAGATCCTCTTTATTTCTGCACTCTGTACATCCCGAAGGAGTCCCTGGGTGGTGCAAATGAGTAACACACTAGGCTGCTAACTGAAAGCTTGGAGGTTCGCGTCTACCCAGAGCACCTCAAAAGGAAGGGCTGGTGATCTACTTCTGAAAAACCAGCCATTGGAAACCCTATGGAGTATAGTTCTAATCTGACACACATGGGGTCGCCATGAGTCAGAATTGACTTGACAGCAACTGGTTACTGGTACATCCCCCAGGGACAGGCTTTCCATGAGATGATGTCCTCTAAGCATTTGTTGAATCAGGCTGAATGATTCTGAAGTGTCAGGGCCAGGGCTGGGAGGGCTGTGGATGCAGCAGTGGGGGTCGGTGTAGGGACAGATCCTGAATTCCTTTAGGAGACAGTGGGCAGTCACAGTCTCTCTCAGCAAAATTGGTTGCCCCTAGCTATCCATCCAAGCAGGAAATGAGTTGCAATTTCTTTCTCTGGGAAACCATGTCCTTGGCGAAGCTGAGAAAGGGGATAGGAGGAGGCTGGTGGCAAGTACTTGCAAAATACTATTCCTCCTCTCCAGGGAATCTCTGGGTGGTGCAAATGGTTAAGCACTTGGCTGTTAACTGAAAAGTTGGAGATTCAAGTCCACCTAGAGACACCTCAAAAGAAAGTCATGGTGATCTACTTCCAGAAAATGGGCCGTTGAAAGCCTTATGGAACACAGTTCTACACTGACGCACACGGGGCCGCCATGAGTCCGAGTCGACTCCATGACAACTAGTCCAAAGGGAAAACCTTCTGGTCCTGTGACTACTGAAGAGAGATGGACTGAAGGAGGCTGTGCTTGAAGCACAGGTGCAGGGAAGGGTTAAGTCTGCAGCAGGTTTCCCCCACACTCCTAATCACTGGTTCACACCACATTAATTACCCACCCACAGGGGGTAGTGCCATGGAGTAAATTAGCTGCTGAGTTCAAAGGGGGCCACTCCCCGCATTCCTTAATTAAGAGAGCAGCTGGCAGCCAGGGCTGCTACTCCACTCCTTTCCTCTCCCCTCCTCCGGGCCTTTCTGGGAAGCCAGGTATCTGCCAAAGCAGACGCAGTAGCTCCATCTGCTAGGTGGAACAGCCTGTGCCCCACCACCATTAGCCCACCTTCAGTGCGGGGCTGGGGAAGGGCAGGTGTTAACTGTGACCAAAGAAAGGCTTGAACCTGGTGACTAATCCTGAGCCCCTGGGTGAAGAGATTCAGGGCCGATGTGAAATGCCCGCAGTGCCATGCCCTGTCCCTGGCCACTCACAATTTTCCTCACTCTGTGGACTGGCCTTGGGGCAAAATGGGGCATGTTCTCCCAGGGGAAGGGGTGGAGAAAGGGAAAGAGGTGGGGTGCTTGAGGAGTCTGGAGAGAAGGGAACCAGGTGGGGAAGGGGGCAGAGAAAGAGCAGCCAGACAGGAGGGAGGGGCATTAAGCAGGCATTTTGGGAGCCAAGGTGAGGGAAACTTTGAGCTGAGGGTGGAGGGGGCTCAGGGACAGAGGTGAGGGGGCAGGTAGTGTCCCATGTAAGCCCTGTCTGTGCTTGCCTCCACTTATAGGGTACCCCACAGGATGGATCGTCTGCTTCGTGTTCTGTCCACCCACACAATGCTACCAGCCACTGGGCAGCCCCAAAGGCTGTTCTAGGCTGGGGGAGCCCATGTACACCCCTCCCTGGTCAGCCAGCTCAGTGACTTCAAGAGGCAGGAAGACTCGGTTTTGAGGCAGAAAACCCTGGAAGGAGCCCCGCCTTTGCCACGTAGCTGAGTGAGTCTAGCAAAGTTTTTACCTGATGCCCAAGTTACTGCGGGGGACATGTGCCACACACGAGAGGGCACTTGCACGCCCTGAGAGTGAGTGCGCCTTAAATTCACGCCCTGAGATGCCTCTCCTGCCTCATCCTAGTTTCAGCCCTGCTAGCAATCTTTGAGAAACTAGGGGTGTGGCATGCATAGCTGGAGAGGAAGAGGCTGAGAAGGAGGAGAGTGGGATAAAATAGCCCAGAGGAGACTGGCTGGGAGGGACCTGCAGTTTGGGTAGGGTTTGCTTTTGAGCCAAAGGCACCTTCCCAGAGATTGGAAGTAAGGGCACATAAAAAAGAAACAAAGTTAAGATTGTGTTTTATTGAGATAGAGAAAGGGGAACTGGAAAACTCATTCATTCTTTTGCTCATTCAATGTCCGGGGTGTGTGTAGGACATTCATCAAATGTTTGTTGTTGGCATCCCACCTTGTGCACACTCATGCATTGAGCACACATTTATAGGGCGTCCACCGTGAGGTCAGGAACTGATGCGAATGATGATGGTGATCTTGTTACTGATGATCAGAGCAACAGTCACTATTGGCCTATATCGCACCTGGGCGAGAATTCCAGAAACAAGTACAGCATAGACTTCTTTCAAAGAGCATGAGAGAAGGATGTCTTTGAGCAAAGGCAGATTTGCCCACTGCTCCAGGTTCTGCTAACTGCAGGTTCTTCCAGTGGTGCCAAGGGTGATATATGAATGTGTGTGCAGGACACAGAGTATCTCAGTATTGGATGAAAAAGCCCGGGTTCTTTTGCATCCTATACGCCCTGTTACTATCATCACAGTCCATACAAAGATAAAGAACACAAAGCCTTTTAGGGGACCTGCTGCTGTTGAGTCGATTCCAACTTATAGAGACCCTATAGGACAGAGTAGAACTGTACCATTGGTGGAGTTGAACTGCCGACTTTTTGGTTAGCAGCTGAGTTCTTAATCACGGTGCCACCAGGGCTCCACCTTTAGGTTAGTCAACCAGAAAAACCAAAACCGTTGCCGTGGAGTCAATTTCAACTCACAGCAACTCTATGGGACAGGGTAGAAGTGCCCTTTAGGGTTCCCGAAGAGTGGCTGGTGGATTCGAACTACTGACCTTTTGGTTAGCAGCCGAGCTCTTAACCACTGTGCCATGCTCAAACTGCTTGTGCCACCCAGGAATCTTCAAATGAAAATATAGAAGACCCATTTTCTAGTTAAATCTAAGATTAAAAACCAGAAATTGAAAGAAATCCTAATGTGTGTGGCCTGCCTCATTCAAGAAAGGGTCATTCTCTATTTTTATTGTTTGTGTCTAAATTGTACAGTCACATACAAGACAAGGACTGGGTCTGTAATCACATTTTACAGTGAAGTTGTACAATGAGTAGGTCAGACCACAGTGTAGGCCAGTGTACAAGTCCTTCACTACCCAAAAGGGCCACCAGAGGGCAGCCACGTGGTTCCTAGCTGTTGTTTTCCTTCTCTCTCCCTTAAGGTACAGCTCCAGGCTGAGTTGCTGGCCACCACCCAGCTGGAGTTATTTCGTTTTTCTACTGTGCAGTAAGCAATGTGATCCCATAGAGACCAGGCCCTTAGAGGAGGCACAGCCAACTCACCCCTGCTGGAAAAGTGTTTGCGTTTAGCTCTGGCTTGGAGAGAAAAATAACTTTTCACAGCTCAGAGGCCTTGAAAATGAGTGTGGAGGCTGCTGATGGGCAGTGTGGGGTAAGCGGAGCTGTGGCAGTCTGGGGGTGAATGGAGCTGTGGCAGGCCTGGGGTGGGAGGAGATGTGGCAGGCCTGGGATGTGAGGAGATGTGGCAGGCTGGGGGTGAATGGAGCTGTGGCAGGCCTGGGGTGGCAGGAGATGTGGCAGGCCTGGGATGTAAGGAGATGTGGCAGGCTGGGGGTGAATGGAGCTCTGGCAGGCCTGGGATGTAAGGAGATGTGGCAGGCTGGGGGTGAGTGGAGCCCTGACAGTTCTGGGGTGTGAGGAGATGTGGCAGGCTAGGGCTGAACGGAGCTGTGGCAGGCCGGTGGTGGCTAGAGATGTCCACAGAGAGGGAGGGGTGGGAGGCAATCCTCTGGCCCTCTCAGGGTGCCCTTCCTCAGTGTCTACAGGGTATGTCCCTGGAGAACTCTGAAAGTTCCTTTGAAAGTGACCCATTTGCCCCTGCCCACCAATGGCCTCCAGGATCTGAAGATTCAGGGCTCTCTTTTCAGGGTCAAGCCAAGGACAGTCAAAGGGACAGAGGGGTCATACTAGAGGCACTCATATATAGAGAGAAGGGATGCCAACCATTCCAGTGGGGTGGAAAGCAAACACCTGTGGTTTCTGTGTCCAGAGTCACTGCTGGAGCCTAAGTGTGCTTGGCGATCCCTTTTTCCACTTCATTGCTTGATCTTCTGCAAAGGGGGGACCCAGCTCACAGGACTCAGGAACTGAAGGACCCATAGGAGGGGCTAGAGGCTTCACTGGGAGCACTGGAGGCCAGAGGTGTGTGTGTGTGTGTGTGTGTGTGTGTGTGTGTGTGTGTGTGTGTGTTAAGGCAGTGCCACCACTAGTAGAGAGCCTCCTTGTTGTTGCCAAGGGGATCTTGTGGGTTCTGCTTCTTCTACTCAGCCCGTTGGCTGAAACCTCACTGAGCTGAGGGCATCTCACCTCAGCGTAGATGATAGAAATGTCCTGTGGGAGAGTTAGATCAGGAGGGGAGAGCAGGTGTAAAATGGAGGGTGAGAAAAGAGCAGGAGCCCATCTTACCTCTCCCCTGAGGTTGACTCAGCAAACGTGGCTGTGGGGGAGAGAGAAGCACTCAGGTTAGTGTGTTTGTGCTCATTCCTTCCCACCTCCTTCTAGAAAGCATGGACCCAGCTAAGGACTGCTGTTCCTCCTTTTATTTTCTAGGATCCCTCACCCTCAATCTGGAAACAGATGAGCCTGGGAATCAGGAGAAACTGGGTTCTAGTCCCAGTTCAACCACCCACCAGCTGTGTGACCTGAAACGAGTCACTAGCCCTCTGAATCTCAACTGCTTCGACCAAAAAAGGGATAATAATAACTACCTCCCAAGGATTATAGTGAGAATCAAGGGAGATGAAAGTGTAAAAGATATTTAAAAATAACTACTGCTATATTAGACATCTACTCTATGCCAGGCATGGAGCACTGGTGGCTCAGTGGTTAAGAGCTCAGCTGCTGTCTTAGTCATTTAGTGCTGCCATAACAGAAATACCACAAGTGGTATTTGTTTAACAAAGAGAAGTTTATTCTCTCACAGTCCAGTAGGCTACAAGTCCAAATTCAGGGTGTCAGCTCCAGGGGAAGTCTTTCTCTTCTCTGTCGGCTCCGGAGGAAGGTCCTTGTCATCAGTCTTGCCTCGGTCTGGGAGCTTCTCTGCACAGGAACCTCAGGTCCAAAGGATGTGCTGTACTCCTGGCACTGCCTTCTTGGTGATATGAGGTTCCCATGTGTCTCTGCTTGCTTCTCTCTTTTATATCTCAAAAGAGATTGGCTTAAGACACTACCCAATCTTGTATACCTCATCAGTATAACTGCTGCTAATCCGTCTTATTAGATCATAGTGATTGAATTTACAACACATAAGGAAATCACATCAGATTACAAAATGGTACACAATTATACAATACTGGGAATCATGACCCAGCCAAGTTGACAGATATTTTTGGGGGACACAATTCAATCCATGACAGCTGCTAACCAAAAGGTCAGCAGTT